ATTTACCAGCTCCATGCTTGCATAATATGCACCGTGTCCACCAGATAAAATGTCTCTCTCTGAAAAATGCTACAGAGTCCCTGACCATTAATATACCGGGCGGCCCTCCCAGGTAAACCTATGTATCAAAGACTGAATATAACTTTATCTATAGAATAAAATAAATGTCAGCTGATCAGCTCGTCTGATTGGCATTAATAGAGTCCGCCACTCAAACTAATAAGAATTACCGATCAGGCACCCTTTATGGCTGACATTTCATGCTGACATTTTAGAGGAAATTGTAGTGTTTGCTCACAGACAATTCGGCCGATGGGGAAGATCAAACTCCAGGATGTGACTTGTGTCTCCACTACATACCAGGATGCGTTTCCCCATTACAACTTGAAGAGCTTATTCTTATTCATAGAGATGAGGTCTGCCAGAAAAGCAATTAGTACTATATATAAATATAAGATACACGGTAGACTTGATCCAAAATAAAAATCACCACTCCTGTTTGAGCCTACTTCTTGTAAAGGAAAAAAAAAAAAAAAAAACAACTCCACATGTTCTGGGTTGATCAGTCATTTAGCCTTCCTCCCACAGTGGGCAAGTACATGGGAGGAGAGGCAAGGTAGACTTTGGCAAGAACATCATGTCTTTGGGCAATACTTTGTGTTCTTCTACAGCTATTGAGTTTTTTGTTCGGTGGGATGCATGATTCATCACAAAAAAAGCCTGAGCCTGTTTTGCTGCACAGTAGTTGTCAATAGCATTTCTGAGATGGAGGTCACCTTGATAAATGCTAGTTTTTTTTGGAGTCTTGGTCATACTGACATACAAATAAGTTCCTATAAAACTAATCAGTTGGTTTGCTGCTTTTTCCTCCTTTACTGGCAATGCTTTTCATTTAAAGCGAGCGGGACATTGCTGATTAATTATTCCTTCAAATAAAACAAATCTATTTACAGACAACTAGAAAGTTACCTTGAGTTCCTCCAGGGTGAAGCCACGTCCGGCACGAACCTTGGTGTGGTACCTGATCGTGGGACACCGGACTTGTGGCCTTAAAGGTCCAGCAACAGGGCGGGGAGCAATGAGACGGGCCTTAGCCTGGCGAGCCTTTCGCCTGAAGAAAAGAGGCATCTTAGTTAAACAACAATAATCAGAGGCTCTTTTCAATCCCAGGAACTATAAAAGCATCTCAACCTTGGTGTAAGCACTGAAACACTGCACCCACACTGCAAGTTCATGTAAAGAAAAATAATGTGCAGGCACACTAAAGCAGGACTACATTTAATGTAAAAGCTGTAAAACAACAGAGGGAAACCTAATGTGTTCCCAGTCAGTAAATACTGATTGTTTTGACTTAAAGAAACGCAGAGAGCCCCTGGCATCAGCTAAAGAACATGGGTCATATTGGTTTGTATGACTATGTGTCCATGCACACAAAATGCTGATCCACATTACATTAAAACATAAATCTTACTTCTTTTAGCATAGTGCAGTTCTTTCCATAACTCATCATTAAAGTATCATAGTATACAAATATAAAATCACCATTGCGAGGCACAGATTTCTGTCTTTGACCAATAATTTAACAGTATAGCATCTTAACAAGAGCTCAAAACCAAACTGCAACAGAATTACTCTCTAGTACTCATCCATGACGCGTGGAAGTCGCGTTAGCTCAAAGTTAGCATCTCCCTGCTGCACAAGGCGGCTCTCACCTGCGGATCTTCCTGGCTGGCTGGTTGAACCAGGTGCGCACTCTTTTCTGCCAGTCTTTGTGGAAGTGAGGGTTCAGGATCATTCCATTCCGGCTGGGGGCCATGGCTGCCTACTTCCCTGTAACACAGCAGAGCACACAGTGAGGAACACACGGTGAGGAGCACACGGTGGTGAGGAGCAAGCCTGTCATGCCGGCACACAGTCCGTCCTCACGGAGCTACGTGTATGATGCTAAGCTAGTAGGTTAACCAGGTTATTGGCTACGCTTTGCCGTAACTACTAGAGTTTGACATTTGGGTATTTGTTGCGGACGTCCATTTTTTATTTTGAATGACATTATTAAAATATGAAGCAGCTGAAGTTGGCCTGTAACGGCAATGCTAACACACACAAACAGCACTTGACTGGGGATCACTGCTAAAACAGAGGCTGTTTATCAATATAACGAGGAGATCTGTAACAATAATCACCTTATTACAAAGGTGGCAAAACACACTATTTCGGGTTGTAAGTGAAATTGATAAATACCAACAAAATACTAAGGATTAAGGTAGATTCTTTTTAAATGTGTAGAGAAAAAATTATCATACCTACGAGGGAGGAAAATGGCCGAAAGGAAAAAGGAAGTTGTAAAGCGGTGGATTGTGGGATATGTGTGTGAACCAGCCAATGGCCGAGCAGATGTGATCAAAGAGTATATAACGGATGGTTATCGCTACCAGAAGAAGCCGATGAAACGTAAAAAGGAACAAAAATATTTCTGATTATTTAACGTAAGAATAGGCAACATATTATTTAATGATTGTGATACAATATATATTAAAAAAATAATTTTTCTCAAGATTTGTTGTATTTTAAAATAGGTCTGTCTGGTCCACTGTAAAGTAAAGTACTAAAAAGTGACGTGATTTCTTCGTTTCTGAAGAGGGCGTCAGTATTTTATACAGTTTATGGCACAAACAGAAAATAACGATTTTGTTTGTGTCTTTCCAAAAAAGATAATTTGCGCTCAAACATGAAATCACTTAATCCAAGTGCAGAGGGAACAATTTCATTAGAGCAAAACCGGAAGTATGAATGGGTTTATCACACTATATTCATCTTTGTTATGATCCAGTTCATTTGCTTATGTTTTTGTTATCATATTAATATGAATTTTCTAACAATATTATTTTCTATAATTCTGAAAATAATCATATCACAGCAGTTAATGGAGCTGCGTTCAGGTTTGGAAATCGATTAGTGTTGTGGAATAGAAATGGGATTGCCAAAAAGTGTGGAGATTTATTATTCCAATGATCTATGCCCGTCACCATAGATTGGACCAGGGTATTTGCCTAATAATAACCCTCAGAAGCCTTTAAAGCCTCTTAATAGTGTGTATTATTATTAAGTTCATTGTGATTGTTTAAAACAGATATCATTTAAGTTTACAAAGTTTTAGCAGTCTGTGTTCATGCTGCTTCACTTAAATTTTATTTTGAAAACTATATATATTTTTTTTTTTCAACTATTTCTTGATGTCATCTTGTGTTCACAAGTTTGATACTGGACGTTTTGTAAATTACATTTAGAGGTGAACTTTTTGCACTGGCCACTAGATGTAGGCCTAGCAATAGTCAAATAGGCTACATCTTAGATTGCCTAATAAGTTAGTATACTGACAGTCTACAGGCTTTAACTGCTTATCTTTATGTGTTAAATATTAGTCTTGAAAGGCTGTTAAAAACTATATATGTGTGTGATGTGTCTTATGTACTAACAGGGTTGGGAAGGTTACTTTACAAATGTATTCCCATATAATTACTAATTACATGTTAAAAAATGTAGTCAGTAACTACTCCAAGTATCACAATATTAAAGTAATGTAACTTGATTACTTTCCGTTATTTTTGGATTACCTCAACACCAAAATGCAAATAAAGATGAGAAAAGAAATGTTAATAAGAAGTATTGATGCAAGTGTATTCTACAAGACAACAGAACAATGGAAAAAGAAAATGGAAACCTGTGTATCCTCTGATCTGTGTATTTTTAAAGAAAAACAGATGTATTTTAAAACTGTAATCTGCCAAATAATCCCTATTTTTACTAAATATAACTAATTTGATTACATCTTTTTTCTGTAACTGTGTTTTTACATTTTTTGTATCCTGATTACATAATTTAGTTACATGTAATCTGTAACTCTGTGTATCACTGTGTGAGCTCAAAAAACAAACAAACTGTCACATAACAACTGCAGCTGATCATGAATCAGGGGGCCCCAAGCCTAGGTCTGTTAGAAGTGACAGCATCTCCAGTTGGAGAGTGAAAGATTACAGTCAACAACAGAAATAACCTGATTCTCTATTAATTTATATTAAATGTTATTGTAAAGGTGGTTGTTTTCTGGGAGGAGCAGGGGCCACTTACAAGTCTGTGCCCAGGGGACAATTGTCACATAATCCATCAGTGAACATCATTAAAAAGTTATGAACATTCGTGTCCTCATTTGAAAACAAGGTTTGCGTATCCATGTGCTACAGGCACAGAGGACAGTGGAAGCAACATTGCTCTATGAATTAACATAATAAACATATTCACCCATATTTTTTGGTTAGATTTATAATCACATGCTACAAAACTCACCTCTGCTATATGTAAGAATCTAAATATGTGTGCATAAATCAGACCAGGACAGCACTGACCTGGAGAAGGATTTTTTCATTTCGTGTTTCATGTACAACTTTACCCTGAAGCTTTACATTTTGATTTCAGAGAGACACTTGAAAAATCTCATAAAGAACCAAATTAACTTTAAATGTTAAAAATGAATTTGTGTCTTAGGCTATAACTAGTGATTGCTTGTGCCTGTCTGTGACATGTCTTTCTGTTATTAAACAGCCTACAGATTAGATAAAAAACATTAATTATACGGTGTCATCAGAGACCTTAATAATAAGACTAGTGCAGTGCAGGACATTATTGTAAGTACCACCGTTTTTCATTGAAGACAGTGGGAATTTAATGATACTGCACACAGCATTATATGTGTTAACACATATTAAAGGCTGTGTGGTGGTGCAGGTGTTTGGATTGATGGAAATGATTGAGCAAGCCTGTCCACAAACCATCCATGAGAGCTCCAGAGCTAAGTGCCTCAACAAGTTCTCAAGCACCAGCCACATTAGTTACTTATTTCTTACTAATTCATGTCTAAGCATGTGAATAAAGTTGTTTTTCTGTGTGAACTTCTGTCTGAACTTGTTTGTTTGCATGGCCCTGAGTCAGTGTCTTCTGTGAACACAATAAAAGACAATGAAGACATTTAAAAAGATAATTATATGTCCAAATCAAATTACATGGTTTTCATAAATTACTTGTTGCATTGAAAGTGAACTGTTCCACAGACACACACAAGGATTAGAAAGAGACGGCTTCTGCTTTATCCTCGATATTACTGATTGATAAGTGGATTACTTGATAGAACTCCATAGAAGACAATTCAAAATAAAATTTCATTTTCTTCTCTAGAGCCTAATAAGGAACTGGAACCATCATCTGATTAATATAGCAGAGAAATATGAAACAAATAGTTGTTGCATGCAGACAGCACACACTGTGAAATCTAAAAATAACTACTTATTTAAGAGCATCATTATTTAGAGTGGAGGGAGTGCAAGTGTAAAAAGGTGTCCGTCTGGAGGAATATGCAGCTTTTGAATGGGAGATTTGGAAGGTACACAAATAGGTCAGCACAGTAGAACTTATTGAAGTCAATGTAAGAACATTCAAATACAAAATGAATTTAAAATAACTTATTATACAATTATTTAATAGGAATGTTGAATGAGAATGAAGCACATGTGAATATTTTACTCTCAGTGACTTTAACAACCTCTGACAACATTCCAGTTTGTAGCCAGTAAAACAAATTAATAAGGCTCTTTTTTTCTATTAATCAGCCTGAGAGTGCAGTTTTTTGTCTAAAAGTCTAAAACCACTGCTTCATTAATCATTTAACAACTAGCTTCCGCAATCTCTGCCTATCTTCACCTAAGGGCAAAGGTCAAGGTGTGTGGAACTATAATAAGCAAAAAGAAGCAGCATGCTCGGTCAGCACATGCACAGCGGCATATGAATATGTCTATGGTCTACCACACATCATAAATTGTGCATGAGTCCTTATTTGTGGCTAAACCATCACAACACACTCCTGAATGTTTGCCAAAAAAGCACAGGGGGAGTCAACTCAAGCTTAAGAACCAAATTTTATTAAATGAATGTTACACAGCACTTACAATCACTTTCCAGCCTTTTACCACATTTGTGTAGATTTAAAAAAGGTGCAAAACACCAGATAAAGACCCAATAATACAGACAGATCTTGAGATTAAGAGCCCTTTAGGCTGGCTAGTAGCTAAAGAAATCCTAACCTTAAGTAAGTATACCTAAGTATAAGAAGTTACTGAGGATTTAAAGTTATTCTGATAGCACAATTCCAGTATCAAAATAAATACCACAGATAAGGAAGAGTGTCACACAAGATGTTAGTAACCGTGTCTACTAATCTTTGATTGCAATTACATTATAAAACAGCACAGTGAGTTGATTGATTTATTCTTCAAGTGACTTAATAAATTTATCATACGCAGGCTGATCCATGAGGCCATCAAGTTCTTCAGGCTTTTCAATGGTCATCTTGATTAGCCACCCTGAAAAATAAAAGTTGATATTTTCTCTTGAACAGCTTGTGAAGATTATTTTGGTGTGGCGACTCTACTGGGAGAAATTCCTGGAAATGACAACAACAAATGGAAACTGGAAAAGAACAAGAGTGAAGAGTGATGCTTACCCTCTCCATAGCAGGCTTTATTCACAAGTCCAGGATTCTCTGCCAGCTGTGTGTTGATTTCAGTCACTTCCCCTGTCAGTGGTGAGTATAGCTCACTGGCAGCCTTTACGCTTTCCAAGGCACCAAACTCCTCTACAACACACACACACAACTGACAGATGTCACACACTGCTGGATCTCATTTTAACATATATATATTTCTTTAAATGTGCAGTGTGTTCCAGGCCCTCACCCATTTGTTCAAGTCTTTGGCCAACTTCAGGGAGTCCACAGTATACCACATCACCTAATGCTTCCTAAAATGACAGAACAAACTGCATGAATATAACCTACATTAACTATTATAGTAAAGTGAGTAAAAACAATAAAATATTTTAAGTGTAATTCTGTATTTAAAATAATTTTGGAATCAAACCCATGGCCACTGCAGCAAGGACTCAGCCTTGGTATGTGGGGCGCCAGCTCTTCCAGCTGAGCTACCAGGCACCCCCAATTCTGTATTTTAAAGAACAAGGCTGCCTATACTCTATATTTGGTACTGTCAAACAAATCCCACGAAAAGAGCAAAACCAACTATGCAGCTGTCCGTGGCTCTCAACCCCAAGCCCATTCAAACCTACTGAAGATGTTAATCTTTAAAAACGGGTCATAAATATACATAATATTCTCTCTTCTTTTTCTTCCAAGCAATAATATTATTTAGACTACTAAAATACTACTCAAACAGGAGTAAATAACACATTTGCTGGGGACTATTTTTAGGGCTGGATTAATAGACATTTGCACAGCAGCAGGATAATGTATGTGTGATTGATTAAAATAAACAACAGGAATACGATAT